GCTGGGGCGACCTGGGTTCGAATCCGGTTTGTGGTTCTTTCATGCATGTCTCTACCCCTCTCTCATATCCCCTTTCCTGTCAGCCTACTGTCCAAAAAAATGAGCTTCTAGTGCTGTTTAAAAAAAGAATTAGAATTTGTTATAGAGCAGGTTAATCTGTGTGAATGCTTTTCACACACAGAAAGATTGTAGACCTTTGTTAAAAGGACTGAAGACAGGGTTTATAGGAAATAGTACTTGTTTATTTTAGAAATTTGTACTTCTGTTACTTTGCATGTTGTGATGCCTTTTAAATCTGTTATTGCTGTTGCATATTTTTGTAACTTCGTATGTCTGAGCAGCAGGTCTCTCTTGTAAATAAGACACACAGTTTCAAGGGACTAACTTATATAAATAATTAATTGAAAAATAAAATAAACTAATCCAGACCAAGAATTTAGCAAAGGAATCTTAAATGTTAATTTTCCATATTTCTTATCCAGTATTTTGCCCCGAATATATAGACATTACTTTTTCCCAAGGTTTTATGCATAACAGTAATGGTTTTACCACTTGAGGACACTATTAATGTAAAATTAGGCAGCACTCTGTTTACAGGGGACTGTGTCTTGCAGCTGCTTCCTACCATCCACTGGAGAGTTGATGAGGATGACCCGACCCATAGGCGAGGAGGATCGGATTCCACGGCGACGCTGCTCCTTCTTTCGTAGGAGGTTGCGTGTTGCGGTGTGCGAAACTTGTGTCGCTTGGCCCTTTTCCCTGCGGGAGGGATCTGATGAGAAAGCCATGGGGGCCTTTCAAACGCTCTCCACCAGGCAGTCAGCTCCAGGTGGAGGAGTCTAAAGGAGGGCAATTACAGAGCAGGCATTCAACTAGGGCTTAAAATACAAACCCATACACACATTTTGTGGCCTCATTTAGCTCAGTAATTAAATTCAAAATAGGTGAAACTCTGATAGATTGCTTAGTCTGAATGATTTACTTTTGTTTATGATGATCAAATGCAGTTTCTCAGAAAATAAGAGCACCTCATAGACAAAATAAGACAAAAATCTGGGCCTGATTGTATGACTGAACACAATATTTTAACAAAAGCATTCCCTCAACTGCCTTGACTTGGATATGAGCTTAAATGGCATCTTATTATTAAAACCTAGGGCTTATTGTGGCAGTGTTCCCATTTGCAGCTGAAACTGCCTTTATTTTTTCCAGCGAGGCTGTATACACAGATTAGAAGCATATTTATAGGAACTTAGCTTATGTGTCAAGTCATTGACTAATGTAAATGAGAAGAACCCTGGCTCTCAGAGTCACTCCTAATTATTCCAAAGTTGTTCTATTCAATTGAAGTAACTTAAAATTGTGCAGGGCAGTCAAGCTCATACACATCAAAAACACCATCCATGTCTTTGTGGACCTTAATGAGGAATGATTTGTCATGTTGGAAGAGGAAAGGGTGATTTACAATGTTTCAAACTAGGGATGTCCCAATCCGATACCGATATTGGATATTGGTCTGACAACAAGCTTAGACTTAAACTTAGATTTGTCATTTTGTTTGGACAAGTGTAAAACAAAAATAAATTTTGTTTCGAACAGCTCTCTAGACAATTTCATCTTTTTTAAAAGTGCAGCCTTGAAAAATATATATATAATAATATATAAGCTAAAATTAATCTCAGATTATATCGGCCAGACCCTAAAATCTCCAATATTCACATGCTGATAAAAATACACTCTTCTTCTGTCTATAGCTTCTGTAACCCACTGGTCAATAACACATCAATCCTTTGTTCACATATTTATTGTTCAGTATTGTTCTAGTAATATCACTTGATCAAACCTTCTCTAAAATCCCACTCCATAAAATAAGTAATAAAAGCTTGTATGATTCGTGCTGATATTGTATCAGGTCGACATCCATATAGGTCTGAATTGCAATGTCGGTAACGTATCAAACTTTACACATTGGACTCCACAACCAGACAACTGTTGTTCTTCTGGTTACCTTTGCAAATCTTTGTGTCAGCATTTGCTCTGTTTACCTGGATACCACCTCATGGCTAAGTTGCTCTCATTCCCAATTTCCTCCACTTTATTGTGATACCACAGGCACTTTATGGTGGAATATTGTGGGGTGAGGAAATTTCACAACACCACAGGTGGCATCATAATACAAAAACAGTAGAAATCACCAAGCTCCTGAGAGCGACCAATTATTTAATAAATAACTGTGCACAGTCTTGATCCCTGGCTGCTTTATTCTATACACCCATGGCTATGGAAGTGATTAGACCTCCTGATTTTAATGTTTTGGAGCACCAAATGAATACTTTTGGCAATACAGTGTACTTTACAGTATATTCAGCCAATACTTGGTTAGGTTTGCTTTCAAATGAGCCAGTTCTACTTTATCAATGCAGCGTCACATGGAGGTGATAACCATGTGGCTTTTTTCAATTGTTGATAACTTTAATAATTACCTCAGCACATCTGCATTGTTGGCCCTTATACTCTA